ATTGTTAGGTATGAGAACATTTCTAAATATGCTGACTTCATCAACCTCAGTCATAAAAAGATAGCAAGTACTATAGGATGAGATACTATCTAACCCCAGATGTCTTTCATAGCCTCAACTTGATGTGTTAACTTCCACTTACATATCAGATAATGTTCTTTACTGGTCCCTGTGGCCTTATTAAAATCTGTGACATTTTGGCCATAGTACTGATACTTACAGCTAGTTGCAAATGGAGGGGAGCAGCCAGAAGAATCTACATCAGCTTTCAGGAGGAATAGCTATATGGAGTGAATGGAGATGTTTCTTGAGAATGCCTCTAGATGTAAATCTGCAAATATTTTATAGCAACCAGTGGTGGTCTTTGGGTCTGTGGTTGAAAACCCTGTTCTGAGCAAGCTAATGTCAGGAGTTCATGTAGAACACAGGGAATGTAAGGTTTTTCATCATGGTCTCTGTGTATCATAGAAATGAGTTCCACACTTGCGGAACATTTACACTCACAGTTACAGGTGAGTAACCTGTCCTTTTATGTTGAGATAAATGAGGATGTAGGGTAGGAATATGAAAAGGTGATGGCAAAACCCATAGTTAGTCTCCCAAATTGTAAATAAATATCAACAAACCTTAATTCCAGAGTATAGAAAGAAAGTTTAAAAATTGCAAATGCTGTATTATTAAATACTCCAGGATAGAAAACATCGAATCAGTGTTTTGTTTTTTATTTAAACTGGACATTTAAAAAATACATTTACAGGAAACACTATTTGCATTAAAATGTCACCTGTTTAATCCTCATGTACCAGAGTCATGTTTTGTTGAAAAAGTGATACAGAACAAGGCCTAGAATGTATTGTAAGCATTTTACAATAAGCAGTTTGTAAAGTACAATAAGAATTAAGTACCATAAGAATTAATTCTGCTCTTTGGTAGCCTTTCTGTTTTTGACTAAAAATGAATATAGCTATCTCAAAGATCAAAGCAGCTTAGAAAGTCCAAGGAAAAATTAATTGGATGAATTAAGACATGGCTTGTGTCATACAAATAGCAGGAATAATGCCTGTAACACCACTGTGAAATCTGAGACTTTTAGGTAAAATAGAACTGCTGGACAGTTAGTTTAGGTTGACTATGAAGCCATAGGTTAGGAGTTCGATTCTTCAGTGTGCTTCCCTGACAGGAGCTGGACCTGATCCATAGGGTCCCTTTCAGCTCTGCAGTTTCAGGATTTATTTATTTTTATTATAATACATGCTCTGTCTGGAAGAGCCCATGGTCTGGTTGCACCTTACCTTTCTTCATACATGTACTGATTCGTGTAGAAGACAAAAACCTGCCTTTATTAATCTGAAGATTTATGTGATGTGCTTTCAAGTCAGAACCAACTTCTAGTGACTTTAACAAGACTTTTAAGGTAAGTGAGATATTTAAGGAGTAGTTTTCCAGTTCTGTCACCCAGTGCGTTCCCATGGCTGAGTGGGGTTACCAAACCCAGGTCTCTTGAGTTCTAATATGTTATTCTATCCACTATACCACACTATCTATCATAATCTGAAGATTAGTATGTTTTAAATTGGAACTGGAAAACAGTTCATTCGTTGGCTGAAATCCTGCTGCACAGTTGTGCAAAAGACATCAGTGCAACAAACAATGTCCTTGGATATTTCGTAACTAACAGCAGTTTACGTTCAAAAATTGTGACTTTTGTGTAACTGTGCAGCAGGGTTTTTACCAGTAGTTTGTAAAGTGGAATTTCTATGAATTTTCTGTAGTGAGAGGTAGCAGTTTAACGTATTTGAAGGTCCATGCACTTTTAATGGCTGCCTGACAGAAAGGGAGGAGTTGGACTGCTAGTTTAAGCCAGGAAATGAACTGTACATCTGCTAAAGGTATAGATATCTACTCTGTGCGAGGGACTGAAGTCTCTAATATGTGTTTTCATAGTGTATTCATACACTGTATAATTTAGCCTATTCCACACAATGAATAGTGCTGGCCTGTTCAATGCCTGTGGGGAAAGTAATTTTTATGGTAAGATCTAAAACAGTTGACAAATAGGCCTGCAATATATCCATTGAAATGGAGGAGGGGAGTGGGGGTGGACAGATGACTGTGACCTCTTTTAATTTAAATGTTGTGTATGGATATGACTCATACTTTTTGAAGGAGTCATTGCTGAAGTGTATATGTAATGAAGTATTGCATTGTCTTTGAGAAGATGAAATTCAAAATGCAGCTTCATACATACTTGTAGAAAGTAACCTCTGTCAAAGTAATGTTACTTCTTTGTCTGCAAAGACATGTATAGGATTACGTTGCATGATGTCTGATGCAATATTTTTAGCAGAGAGACAGTTGTAACATACACATTTTCTTTGTGGAAACAGCCTCTTTTTAATGTACCGTATGTTGGTGATTTGAGACAGGGTGTAGGAGGTGTGGTTGATCTGATGAAAGGAACAGTGTATGGAGTTGCATGTAATGAAGGAGCAGTCTAAAAATGGCAAAGCCACATAAAAATTATGTTGGAAGTAGTGAGAGAGTTTCAGATTACTGAGAATGTTACCACCACATAGTTTGTCCAGTGGCAGTCTCTATAGTAATGTACCAAGTGATTTTGTGGCATATAGAAGTGATAATGAAAACTATTCACAGTATTTGTATGTTACTGTGTTCACAGTGAAAATAAAGAAGTTGAATACAAACATGACATTGAAAACAAAATAAATCCAACAGCATCATAAAATGAAAATAAAACCAAAACCAGATTCTATTTCTGTAAGAAGTTTTTAAACAATGTTCAGAAGATTTTGAGATAGAAATAATAACATTAATTTCATATAGTCAAGTCATTTCTGACTTATGGTGATCCTTTTCAGTGATTTTAGGTATAGAGTAGTTTATTTATTTATTTATTTATTTATTTATTTATAGGCGGCTAACAGCATACTGAGACATAGTTTACCATGACTTGCTTCTGGGTTCACTTTGAGACTAGGCAGCTTGCCCCAAGGCTGGCTTTTCTCCTGGGGCACACAGTGTGGGGTGGGATTTCCAACCTCTGGCTTTGCAGCCAGATATCAACTCACTGAGTTGTCCAGTCATTCATGATTTTCCAGCCTTGGAAGATAAACTGCTACATATCTGGGTTGGAAAGGGTCACAACATCTGTGCCAGATGTGGGAGGACATCCCTTAGTAGGCAACATCACTGAAAAGGTGTTCTTTTCATCACATACCTTCCAGATCTTGTTTGGCTAACCAAGAGGAAGGTCTCAGAAAATTATTGTAACATGAGGAGGAGGCAGCCTCCAGGTGGCCTGGCTCATGCTGTTAGGTTTTTTAAATGCAAGTACCTTGATGCCAACCTCTTGGCTGAGTTGATATGACTGGAATGTTTACTGACATTTATCTGCTGAAGTTAAATTGTTAGTCCTGGAATCTTCAAAGCAATTTTACTTGCTTCTCTGAATGTTGTTATATACTCACACCACAACTGTCATCACAAGAGAAATACATGCCGAGATTTGAAGTTCTGTAGGAATTCTGTAGAAATTACAAAGACATCTTTAGAAAACAATCTTGAAGCCCAACAAGGTCAAAGAATGGATGAGGTCACTGACTGCCACAAGCTGTTGGATGGTTGGGAGAAGTGAAAAACAGATGAGAAGATAAGTTATGTAGAGTTCACTTGCTCCTGAGAGTCTGCTGCCTTTCAAAGCTCTCCCTGATATATCCATTTTGTTTCCAGAATTCTCTTGTTCTCTGTATTTTTATGTTTATGTTTGAATATAAAATAGCCCTGCTCATGCACAATGGACAGATGTCAGAATACTAAGATACCAGACTCTTGATGTGCAAAAATATAGAAGAATTAGGTTATGTTGCTCTTAGGATTACACAAATGCAAGTACAGGGTAATATCTTTATTGAACTACTAAAAAGTGTAAAAGAATCTTTTTTTTAAAGTGCTTAAGGTACAGGGAGAAATCCTAAATTACCTTAATGAGGACTGGGAGTGCTGGTGGCTAAATAAAGAGTTATGTTGCTTTTAAAAATCTGATACCTACAAACCATTGATTTATGATATACAGTGGGGGCTTGACTTGAGAACTTAATCCGTATTGCAAGACGGTTCTCAAGTCAAAAGGTTCTCAGGTCAAATCTGCATTTCCCATAGGAATGCATTGAGAACCATTTGAGGCAGGGAAAATACAGTCCAGGCAGTCCAGTACCAGGCAGTCTGAAGACTGTCTCCCAATCCACTCTCTAAACGCTGGGAGGAGTGAGGAAGCAGTCAGGCACCCTTTTCACTGGACAGTTAACTGAAAGTTGAACTTTTGCACTTTCCCTGCCTCCCACGTGGTTTTTTTCAGTTCTTAACTCAAATCTAAGTATGTAAGTCAAGTCAATATTTTCCTATGAGAGTGGTTCTTAAGTCAAAATGTTCTTAACTCAAGCCGTTCTTAAGTCAAGACCCCACTGTAAAACACACTGACTTCCCAACTACCTTGTCACTACCTCAGAGCCCCCAGTGGAGCACAAGAGCCAGCATGAGCCAGCACTTGAACCATGAAATATTCCTTTTTCCTCATTAAAGACCTTAACAAAAGCTAGCCAAAAAGTTGTAGTTCAGGGAATAAAGTTCCATCTTGTTAAATTACAGTTGTTATGTAACTTAGTTTACCTTTGTTATTGGAAATAGAATTCACTACAAGTAACTGTTGCTGTGTAACTAGTTACTTTCTAACCTGTGGCCTTTTTGCCTCTGATTTTAATGTGAAATAGCTTTGTAGTTTATGCAGTTAGCCCATGTGTCAACTAAAGAAAACTGATAAAGAAGAGAAGTTTAACTTGTTAGCCTTAGTCTATTATAAAACATTATCAGCCCAGTGCATCAGAGACAAGAGTTCTTTTTCCTTGGCTTACCAGAAAATATGTCAGAAAGAATGATATATTAATTAACTAATCAGGAATAAATCTTCTATTTTGTCTCCACAGCAATTTGGCAAAATCCTTGATGTAGAGATAATCTTCAATGAACGTGGTTCTAAGGTATGTTTTGTTTTATGGACAGTTTCTTTCTCTACTCCTGCAGCACCTCGTATCTTTAGTTGACAAGATAAGGGAGCTTCCTGTCTAGGGCATGCACTTTGCAGACAGAAAACGAACTGAGCATCATACGTTCCTCAAAATTGCCATTCCATATAATTGCAGTCTTGAGTATGTTCAATAGCTGCATAATCTTTTTTAAAAATCAAGTTTACAAAACATCCAAGAATAGAGAGAGGCATTGAAGGGGTAGATTTTCCTCTGATGTTTGTCAAATTAATGGTGTTTGGAAAAATGTTTCCTTCCCTTGAAAAAAATTGTATCTATGGATACATTATATGAACCTTCACAGGTTTGTATAGTGTAATAATGAACTATTCCACATCACAAAAATACTGACTTTCATGACTTTTAATGTTATTTATTTATTCGGTTTCTGTAGTGTCCGATTAGTGTAAGGCACTATGTTGGTCTGTTAACAGAGTAAATACAAATTATATAGCAATAGAAGTAAATAATAAACACAAAAAGGGAAAGTATGAGAACAAATAAGTCAACAAAACAGCGTAAAAACAACTCGCCAAAATTAGACAGGCAGGGCAGTTTTGGCAGATAAATGCTACTAAAAGCATCTATAAAAAGCCCCTTTTAAAGTAGCCTCTTGAAGGTAGAGAGGGAAGGGGCCAGGTGCAGCTCTGCTGAGAACACATTCCAAAGGGCTGGTGCCACTGCTGAGAAGACACAATTTCTGGTGGAAGTCCTTCTGGCCTCCCTTGATGTGGCAGCCCATAGCAACATTGGCTGTGAAGATCTGGTGGCATGGGTCAGTGTTCTTGGGGAAAGATGCTCCAACAAGTAATGAGGGCTCAGATCATGAAGGGCTTTGTAGGTAAGAACCAAAACCTTGATGCTGGCTTCGAAGCTCACAGGTAACCAGTGAAGGCGAGCCAGTATTGGGGAAATGTGGTGCAACATTTGTATAAACTGCATATAAATCTATGTAAACTTCAATTTTTTTTCCAGATGGCTAGCTGTGTGGCTATTCAAGATGTATTGGAAATATAGTTTATTGGGGATTAATACTAATTTAACACCCTGGAAAAGAGAATGTAAACATTCTAGTCACAAATGCAGGCATTTTAAGTGATGTTTATCCTAACTGGTTTTCATTATGAAACCAATGTCCCCTCACTGAAAAATTGATGTGCTTCTCTCTCTGCCCAGTAGGTCCAGGACTGGAATAGCAGGGAGTGTTGCAGGTCAGGAGCAAGGTGCATTGGCAGAGCTCTGTGGGGGAAGCTTGCACAGTGCATGTCTATACTATGCTTGACTTAATCAATGCTAAGTTTTCCACCTTCAATTAAAAATGAACATCTGTCCCATCCCTCTCCCTGTTACACAACAGTTTCAAAATGAAATTAGTATTTTATTATTACATCACATCATTGTGATGTTGAAGCTCATGCAGATGTATAGTACAGTCCACGTACTAGCCGCCTAAAGTGGCCTTTTAGGCCAGATGGGCAGGGTATAAATCAAATAAATCAAATAAATAAATAAATAAATAAATTTTATATTCAGGATTAAATGCAATCACATATTTGTCAATTATCATGCTGAATTTCCTTTCTATGTATTATCTGAAAACCAGAAAAAGTTATACTTGTTATTTATATCTATAATATTCTGGCCACTGCATATCTCCTATAAATCTGAAAGCTATTTTTAAGTCCGTGAGGGCACATTGGTCTTTTAGCTTCATTTATGAAGGCTTAAATTAACAAAGCATGTGTTGAACTTGTGGAGAGTTGCGGATCCCTTGTACAGAGTTGGCTGATGATCTCAGAAATGGAAAGGGCAAAGTGCTGGCCCATAATATGCCCTTTGCTAGCCCCAGGCCATTGACACTGGCCTGTAGAAATAAATCAGCAGGGCATGTGAAGACTTAAAAATAAGAACAAGAAAGAACAGTCAGCTGAATAATGTTCCACAACCCAGTTCAATCTTTTATTGAACTTAAGAGATAGACCCAGATATTTTTCTGTCTTCTGCACAGTGTAAGAGAGAGAGGTGCATCTTTTTCCTTTTGGACTATAGTGTGCTCCTGCTACCTGGAGAATTCCGAGAGTTCTAGTCCAAAACCTCTGCATGCTTCTAATGGAACACATCCTTGGGTTAAATTGTTTATGAATTTAATTATTCTTTCATTGTTAAGGAAATATATTCTTGCAAGTAATCCCTTAGTTTTCGGATGACTACGGAGATGCAGAAGAAACAAACTTATTAGCAATATGATGTCCTTATGCATTCCCTCATAAGAATCCATGTTTTAATCATATGTACACATGTCTTCACGTTTTCAATATCTTATTTTAGTACATATATAGAAATGTTCTTTATCTTCAGAATCTTCAAGAAAGCACAGAAGTTGATAGATATTTAATTGTATAACTAAGTCTACCCATGGCTTCTGGTTTTCAGTTAAAACAAGACTGTTGTAACTATTAATTACCTTGGAGCTATTTGTCATACACTTTCATGCAATAAACATTAAGTTCATTGATCACATTCTTGTATATTTGATGGTAGAATCTCATATACCATCCCGTCAAATTCTCAGCTGTCTCAGCAACAGGTTCAGAACTAAAGCTTATTTCAAATACAGTGATCAGCAAGAGTAAGAGTCAAGAAATTCCCATACAGTGTTTATTAATTACATCACTCAGTATTGAATTGGAACATCTGGAATTTCCCCTTGTAAAAAAAGAAAAAGGATAGGCATTCTATTGGTGAAACACAAGACTTTCTAGGAACCCCTTGTTTGTCACTCCCTTTTCTTCTGGAAAAAAGTATGCCAAAACTTGAATGCCTTTCTCCTACCCTGTGGTTTCTATTCTAACCTAATGATATGGAACCTCTATTTTCCTCTCTCTTGGGAATCGGAAAGCAGATGCTCCCGCTGCCTGCCTTGTGCTGTGTTCTCAATATTACCCATCCCTTCCCTGGGTTTCTAAAGGGCATATTCTTGGATAATGTGTTTCATAAATGAATGTTAAAAAGATAACTATGTTAAATCCAAATTACTTTGGGTGTGCCCCCATCCAGTATTTGGGAAGCTCCTGTGTGGCCTGAGCAGATCTTTATCCATTCATATCTGTGACAAATATCCTCTGCCAGAATTGTTCGTGTTGCAAAAATGGGGAATTTCTAAAAATTCCATGTCTTATCCTTTGGTCCATCTGAGATGAGATGATACCATTTCTTTTCATAGTCAAGTTTATATGGTAAAAGAGGATTATTTGCATGTGTATGTTTGTGTATGCATGCATTGTGTTCATTTTAGTGAAAAATGTTTCTCCACAGGATTTAGCTGCAGAAGATGTTTTATTTATTTATTTATTTTATAGGATTTCTACCCCGCCCATCTAGACCAAAGGTCTACTCTGACCTTTTTAATTGTTATAGTTTTATTGTTTTAGATCCCTTGCAGGATTTTAATACTGATGCTTCAAATCTTTGGATTTTGTAATGTTAATAACTGAGGTGGGGAATCTGTACAGTATTGAGGAACATTGATAAAAGCATAGATATCAGTAATGTGAATAAGTGTCTCATTTCTCTTCAGCTAATCATGCTTCCTGGTTTTTGAGTGAAATTTGTTGGGCCTGTTAGTCTTTCAGACATAATGTGACTATTGGAAAACTTAGCCAGGAAGGCCCATTTCTGCCAGTTTGTCTGTGGAATTACACATTTTTTCCTAAAATGGAACATTATGGTTTTCATGAAAGCTAATCTGGTATTTTGGTACAATGAGCCTACCATCAAAAATTCCTTATATTTAACTGAAAGGGAATAAATTGATATTCTCCTCCCTGTCATGATAGAGTTGGCAGGTTAAAAGGAGTGAGGGAATATATGCATCCTTCTTGGCAATTATGCATTACCTAATCTGTCTAGCTGTGAGAATAATTCCTTGTAGTTCATAATGCACAACCACAACCTATGCATGAGATACAGTGGTCCCTCTACTTACGGAATTAATCCGTATTGGAACGGTGGCTGCAAGTCGAAAAGTCTGTAGGTCGAATCTCCATTGACCTACAATGCATTGAAAACCGATTAATCCCATAACTGGCAGTTTTTATTCTATTTTTGTTCCATTTTGGTTTTTTTTTTCTGTTCTGTAAGTCGATTCTCCGGCTGCAAGTCGAATCTAAATTTTGCAGCCAGAGAAGTCTGTAACTCGAAAAGTCTGTAAGTCGAGCCGTCTGTAAGTCGAGGGTCCACTGTAACTGGCAAAAGGCATTTTTAGCATTGTGTAAAATAGTAGCCTGGGATTTGTCAATTGTACTTTTGCAGTCTGCCAGGGAATATGCACCAATGGGTCATGGCAGAGCTCTTTGTGTATATAGGAGCAAACCTAAACTGAGAATGTGCAAGATATATGTCTAACAAAATCACAGTCTCTTTGTACAACAGTTCTGAATATTCATATTCAATCTGAATTATATAATGGGCCCAGAGAAGGATAACTTGTGGGAAAACATGTTATCTGTAACAAATGAATAACCCATTGACTTAACTTTGACTTATTGTAACTATGTGGTACTAAAAAATAAAATTCTGCATTGGGGACATGTTATTAATTAACATGGTCCAATAGTAGGGCCTTCCATATTCATTTGTTTAAGTAGCATTTTAGCTTGATAGTTCAACCACCAAAATAAATATACAGTGATGCCTCGCAAGACAAATGCCTCGCGCGATGAAAAACTCGCAAGACGAAAGTGTTTTGTGATTATTATTTTTTGGTGACTCACAAGACAAATTTTTCCATGGCTATGCCTCACAAGACGAATAGGGATGCATTAATACATTCCTATGGGAAACTGCGCTTCACAAGACGAAATTTTCGCAATACGAAACAACTCACAGAACAAATTATTTTCGTCTTGTGAGGCATCAGTGTAATCACGTCCTGCTCCTTATTTCCCTACTTGTAG